CCGGAAAAAAAAAAAAAAAAAAAAAAAAAAACTTTACGCTAAACTTGTACGCTATACATTGTTTATCGTACGGACGAATGTTGGTTGGTCGTGCAACGCGTACGAGTGTATCTCCTTTATACGGGGACAGGTCGAAATAATTCAGGGATGAAAACGATTGGCGGTGGGACAGGCGTTAAAAGCATTTAGGCCATTTACGGTAACAATGTATAGGAAACAGCGTGTATCATATCGGGCAATGAGAGAGGGAGAGTAAGCCATCCTTGCATCCAATATCAATTACGAAGGCCATTAGTGTACCCTAATTTCAGGGTAATTTTCATTCCTGACCGTGCTGACCACGAAACTTTACTCAATTTGTCCGACACTTTGTCCAACGCGTCGCTTCGTCGCCTACCTGTGCTCCCCGTCTAACTGTCGCAAAAATTTTCTCGGAAAAATTCTTTCGTGAAATAACTCGTGAAAATTCTCGTCCGAAATAAAATTCGCGACATGCAGGAAAATCGTTTCCCGTCGAGTTGTAACGCTATTTCCCTCAAGACGATCACGCATCGCGACCAGATCCGTTTCAACGCGCATTAATCCCCATTATTTCCCTCTTATTTCCTCCGGTGCCGTACGTTCCGTACCACCGCCGGACGAGAACTTGAAAATTGCTCGGGGAAAACAAATTACCGGCTTTCAAATTGCTCGTTACGCGGGCGCAAGGTGAGTGGAAAAATGAGTAGCTGGAAATTGACTTTCAAACAGATTGGACAAACCCACCAGTCGAGCACGGCTTGTACTAAACTCGCGAAAGCTCGTGTACGTATAGGAATGCATGCTACTCGTCATAATGCGGAAACCAGTAACGAGTTTCCTCTGAAACAGATGCAGCTCGGCGGTAAATATCAGAAAATATCATGCACATTTGCAAACTCGTGATACATTTACTAGAAACAAGTCGCACTTTCATAACGAACGCGCGTCAGTTGCTTTCATTAATTTCATTAAAGGAGCGCGCGTAATACATAATTCACATTTTTGACACGGAGTTAATTTCATTAGTCGCGTTACGGGTGCTTTTCTCGTTTGCTCTCTACCAATTTAAATTATATCCGGGCCGGTTACTCGAATACGCGCTTCGAAACGATAATCGCGCCGTAGAAAATAATAATGGTCGCGAGATTCGGAGATTCAGAGGAGATGGCGCGATCGGTGTTTCGATCGAAATTAGAACGAAATCCTCGACTATCCGAAGACGGTTCCCGATAACTCGTTTTAACGTTCCACACCGGCACCGTAATTACATCGACTTGGCCTAATACGTCCGTAGAAAACCAATTTTCCGGGATATGACATGGCTGAAACTATCGAATACTCTAATCCAGGATACTTGCCATAATCCTGGATTCCAACGAAGTGGACTTACTCTTCCATATCCGCGCTTACAACGGATCCACTATTTTTACCAATACGCGCGAACACGCGCGTTCGTCGTTTCTTTTCCACTTTAATCGTGCTTACCTTCCAAAGTTACCACCCCTCGTCCTAAGCACTTTTCACCTCGAATTAATCACACACTATTCCGAGCAAGTAACCTTATTCACCACCGTGATATAATCGACCGACGAGGGACGAAGCCATTGAAATTAATTATGTTTCACGGTAAAATGCAAATTGGGTACTGCGTTTAAACGTCGGCTTCGTTACGCGACTCTTAATTTCCTGTGACATTGTTTCAGCCATCGGTCTCCTCGGATACGAATTCGGTAACCGGGATGTTTCGAGAATTCCCAGCGGAAGCTATTAAAGCGAGCGTAGGCAAGAAAGTCTTTAGAGGAGCGTACGTGCAACGAGCCACGGACTCGGATATAGATCCGCGTGGAAACCCGTGGAGCTTTTCAACCAGAGCCCCGCCAATACCGGTAAAAGCTTAATTGGAACCGACTATCCGCAGCAGCCTTATGCTCCATTCTTAATCTACCCAATGGGAATTGCCATGAACCGTGCAAGATGCCCTTTTCGCGATCAGTGGATAACGCTGTAGTCGCGTTTCCTATCCTGACGAAATCTTAACAAACTGCCTTACAGAGATCGGATGGAGGAGGTAGGCATTGTGTCAGGTATAATGTCTTCGAGATTACATCCCGGTTACATTACAGCTGCTTCGTTATTACGCGAAACGCAAGGATACGAGGGATGCAAATAAAACGTTGTAGGTACGCGCTGCGAATCCATTTCCAGCCCGTACTTGCGTTAAATATCGTTTCGCAAAATTATCCGCATCGCTAATGACATTTTCAATTTCAAATTCGATAGATTCGCGAAGAACAAAGCCTCTGATATTTTAAGGTATTTCGTTATTTCGCGCGTAAAACAAAACCGCGTTATCCAATTACTCTGAAACGATTTTTATCGCAAGCCTGCCCACGACAAGCATAATTCATCGGGGTCAACGTCAAAAGTTCAGCGAATTATCAGGAATACAGTTTTGGAAGTATTCCCTTAACGAGGAAAGTTTTCCCTTCCTCTATTGAGAAATCACACACGAATTCGGTGCGAACCGCGTGCTTCTCGGATCACGATCGTCGTAATTTCACCTACGAGGATGAATGTTCCGCGAGGAGAGGACGATTCGCGAGGGACGCCGAATTAACGTAAGAATTACGACGAAGGAAGAGACCGGTCACGATACTCTCGTACTCGGAAACTTTCAATTCCCAAATAAACGAGTATATTTATCGTTTGACATTTTTTTCCATTTCCCTTATCGAAAGATTTCCGATTTGCATCCCCGTTCGTATCAGCGCTTCTTGCCATCAGCGACATAATCGTTTCCCGTGCTTAATCGTTTAATTCACGAGAGAGGAGAAGAGGGGCAACCCTTGCGAGATAATGCCGATGCACCACGATCCTCCTCGTTGCTTCGCGTTCCTTCTATACAACGACGACGTGGCTGGATTACGCTGACAGCGTAAAATCCGAAGGTGTTGTAACGGCAGGTGACAGTTATGATCTTTACTGCACATGGTTCGGCACTTAACGCGTGATTTACCTCCATTGACGTTGCGTCGACTCCTCGTTTCGTGGTTTTCCCGTAAATCGCCGGATTTAACTGTACACTGAATAGGTAACGACAGATTTATGGAACGATAAAAGTCGCTTTTGCATAAAATTCGCGAAAACTGACATTTCATAACGGCTGATTGTTTCGTTTCCGATACATCAATTTTCGGTGTTATTCGATTTTCATTGGTTCCGTTGATTCTTGAAAATTTGTCGAAATACGTATATTTTCCAATACTCGTTGATTTCGTTCGAAAGGTAAGCTTTGCCATGCACGGCTCCCCATTTATCCGCAAAAGCTAGGCACGCATCGGGTTCTACCCGATTCGATCGACAGTGTGCGCAAACAGGAGAGAAATTGTAAGCGCGTGTAAAATTTCCTTGCGCTTTTTACCAAACACTTTCCGTTGCTCGTTAATCTATTCGCTTGCAATATCGCGTGAGATTCGTGCCAAGGAACTTGAAGCCAACCGTGACTACCGTGGACGAGAGGCGTGGTTTGTAGATGAAATTCAACGTAAACACACGAGTCAGGCTTGTCGTTAATTTTCGTCGATGTCTTTCCGTTTCAGTTACGTGTTATTCTTCGCTGTGTTCGGACGACGTGGCTCGACGCGTGACCGGCTCTGCTGTTTATTACGGTACGTACCACCTTGACTTAAATCATGGGGCAAGGGACTAACGTCGTTTGAACGAGTGCCTTCGTCGAACCACGACCGTCGAGAGCAACGAATATAAAATTGCGTCGATTCGGGATAGTTGCTTCTTTATTCGGATGCACGAACAATGCTAGCTGTCTACGCGTTTCGAAAAAGAATGAAATTCTCATCCGTCCCTATGATGGATTGCGTCGAGGTGAAATAATTCGTCGTAGTTTACGCGCAAGCGAGGCATCCGGCAAGTAATTTGGAAAAAGACTTTCTGGAAGTTGAGTGGATAACGAATCGGATAAGCGCGAAGCATAGAGTTTCCGCGTGTTCTTCCAAACGCGAATAGTAGTTCTCTGGAACAACATTAATCAACGTTACTTCGACCGGAACCCACTTAAGGTTCCTGGAAATTCCCTTCGGAAATCCGCCCATGGATTTCCCGCGATCAAGCAAATTAATTTCTGCCCGAAGCTTCGAGACGTCCTATACGTCAACTGTACGAATGTAACCTATTACTCTAGTTAATAATACTACCCGATAAAGGAATTCGATACCGGTGTTTGTCTAACCATCTGTTAGGTAATTAGAGGCTACGGATTTAAATAACATCGCGTTCGAGCCAACAACGTATTCGCGAATGGAAAGTTCGATATCTAGATTTGCCACTCGCCGTTCTTTCTGCTCTTCGAACACGCAAACTTGTTCCCGGGAACAACGCGTGCCTCGCCGACGGGAATCAACTTTCGAAACTGTATTTCACGGACAATCCGTCAATGCCTCCTCCCTCTCGGGTCTCTTCTTTCTTCGTTTCATCGCAGCCAGAGTTTAAACTCGCGAGTTTAGATATTTTCCGCGACCTCTTAGGCGCACGCGATCGAGGAAAGGCACGAAAAAGTACTGACCGAATCTGTTGTCGAATTTTTTTTTCTCGCAAATCGATATTCCTTTTCACGCGAGACGAGGTTGATAACACGTTTCCGCGACTGGGTCTTTGGTTCATACGGTCTTCTCACGGTGGCCTCGATCGACCGGCGCGACTCGGCTTCTAAAGCAACATCCCCTGTTTCTGTGGCTCTCGCTCGTACACAGGTCGCAGATGAATTATCTTTTATTCATGTCCTTCGCCGGTATAAGGTCTGCCAACGGTGTTATTTACTTTCCGACGATGGACAGTGTTTTACATAAGTACCAGCGGATTCACGTGCTATCTCATTTTCCACGACGAGAGTGCCTCGCGTTCGTTATGTCCCGCATAGCAAGTCAGCCGATAACGCGCGATCGTTGAAAAATCGCGTTTCGTTGGTACATCGTGGAAGAAGTAGAACGCTCTGAAAATGTAGAGACGGTTCGTAAACGAATGGCTCGTAACTTTATCGATGTAGAAAGCAAAGGATACGCTTTCTAGTTTTTTCTCGCGGAATCGTCGAAAGCGGCAAAGTAAAATCCCTTTCGAGTTTTCGCCGATAACACGCTCCATGAAACACGCATTCAGCTTATCGATACAACCTTATTTACTTATCCAATCACGGGATTTATGTATTAAAAAGCTGAACGAGAGTTAGTCGGATAAAGCAAACATGGCCAGCAACGTATAAGCGTAAATACAGCTAATACGATACAACGCGCCGTCCGGTAGTGTACGTATGGTCAACGTTGAGTTAGTGGTAACGCAATCATCGAACAGTTTGTATTGCAACGTGTAATTATCGGTCTTAAACTACCTGCAAACAAACGAAATCTCGTTTACCAAGAAAAAAGGTGAAAAGAAAAATAGCGCAGACATTTCTACTCGAAGTTATCTTAATCGCGCGTAAGTATACGTAAACAAAGAATTAACCGTTTATATATATATATATATATATTTCCCATCTACGACGGCTTATCGAGTATTTCCACGGATATGTGTCGCGCGAATAAAAATTCCTCGAAAATCCGCTCGACCTGATCTGCTCTGTAAGAAAATCGTTCGTTGCCACCATGTCGAGTGGAATTCGATTTCGACATCTGGCTTTCGACGCCACGAGAATCGAAAGAAAGAGAGAGAGAGAGAGAGAG